TGACCACCCCCCACCCCAAACCTCCACCCCATGCAACCCCCCCCCTGCTCCCTGACTGCCCCTTGGCCCCCCGCCCCTTATCCAACCTCCCAGCCCCCTTACCATGCTGCTCAGACCAGCATGTCTGGCAGCCGTGCCGCCTGACCGGAGCTACACACGCTGCCGCGCTGCCCTGCAGGAGCTTGCAGCCGCGCTGCCCAGAGCACTGCCTGCGTGGCTGCGGGGGAGAGGGGGACAGCAGGGGAGGGGCCGGGGGGGCTAGCCTTCCGTGGGTCGGATATGGCCATAGATATGGTGGGCCATAGTTTGCCCACCTCTGCCTTATATACTACTTCTCCCTCAAGCATCGAACACATTTGTAAAGTTAAGCCATTAATTTTGTATGTCACATGGATTATTTCACTGGAATTTGCCAAAATAAAGACTAATGTCCACACAAGCTCAAATAATTCAGAGTATGTTAGAAAAACAGAAAAACATTCTGTTCGGTAGAAAAAAAACACATTTGATAGAAATATAGATCAAATATTACTTTTTCAGAAAAGGGATAGTGCATATCTACGACATACATAGCCTTAAATAAATACAAACCCTGATAAAAAGAAAGCAGCATGCCAGATATCTCTGAAGACGGCGCCAATACTGTAAGGGGTGCTTGTACTGTAGCTCTGCACTGTTCCCTCCTGTGTGTTATCTGTGGTACTAGAGCCATCTCCTTCCCTATGTACTTCCAAATGTGCTGCTTTCCTTAATTTCCTTTATCAGAAGAGATTAAAATTGGAAGGCATCTTTATAAATGTAATCCATTAGCTCTATAATGTGTTCAACAATTTTTGTAAGCATGCAAAATAAGAAACCTTTTAAAACATTTTAATCTAGTAATTTACCATTTTGTTTTAATAAACATTTTAAAACATTCACCACATTAGAACTGTCCATTTTCATTATATAATTTCTTCTAGACAAAAACGTAAATTCACTAAACACTAAAGGCTCAAACCCGCAGTTGTGAGTAGTCCCACCAATTTCAACAGGATTACTCATAGTAGTAAACCCTATTCATTTAAGTGTTGGCAGGATGGGGCCCATGTTTGCGGTTGCACTGTTTTTCTTTTAATTTGGGCCTCCAACAGGAAGATTATTGATCAGTATTGAGTACATTCATAGTTACAGAACAGTCTCTACCAATATTTAGTGACACACAATTTGAAGCAAAAAGGTTCAATACATAGCCAAATAAAGGTGAAATCACAAGACTAAAGGTTTTAAATCACTTTTAAAGTTTAGTAAACATATACACAGTACTCAAATTTCTTACAAGACAATGCATATCATACGCTATTGTAGACAAAACCTTGCAAAATGGTTCAGAGATTGTATATTCCAAAATAATTTCATGTACTCATGATCCTAACTGATAGAAAACATTTTAGTATAGACTGTACCTTCTTCTTTTACCCCCTGTGCTAGGTGGTGGTTTAGGAGTTCGTGTTGAAACAATCTGACAATGCACAGTTCCAAGTAGCAACATTAGCCATATTGGCCCAATTACTTCAGTCAGAGGTATGTTATGTGGGCTTGCTGCTGTATAGAATAATACTATTGCACCAACTGCAAAAAAGGAAAAAAAATATTCAATTCAATGTCTGAATTGTCTTGAAATGCTCTATTGGTCAACTAACATGGATATTTCACAAAATTAAAAGTATTCACATCTCTAGAGATCCTTTTCTACATCCGAACTGCTCTTCACCTAACTCACTCAAGCCAAATATATCTCTGATAGAACTTGCATTGCTAAATGACAGGTTGCAGATTCTACTCTAATCTTAGAAGTACAACCACACCCATTCTGATATCTTAATTATATGCTGCAAATATAGATGTCATTTCTGACCCAGACACATGGAAACAATTTCCAGGTCTGGTGATCTCAGAGGATAATTGGAAGAAATCTTTAAATAGGATTACTAGAAGATTAAAATAATTTACTAACAACTATAGGACAGTATCACTTATTCATACTGTCACATCTATTATAAATTTATCCTCATCTGTATGTAGACCACAGCATGGCATGTTTACATATGTTTTGGAATTGTAATAAAATGGATCAATGTGTTTGATATTATGGGACATTTTTTATTATATCTCACAAATACCACGAGTCCTCTGAACTAGAATGTCAGCTTGTTTCATGGAAAGTGTCCTGATGCAACTATTTCTTAGTTGGTCAGAAGAAACCTATATAAACTGAATATTCATGCATCAAGAAATGTGTCACCTGTGGAAACTTTTAAACTAGGAATTGTTCATGCTTCCAAGAAAATTCTTGAGGTGCATGAACTCATGGAATCCAACAATCAGAACAAAGCTCATATATAATTTATTAAAACTGGCCTCTGTGCTGAAAGTTATGAACAAACTGATTTATTTAGAAACAGCAAATATCAACTGAATAGGGGATGACACAGGATCAACCCTGATCATACAGCCACAGTGAACATTTTTTTCATTTTAAATCACATTTCCTAGTTGTTTGTCTTCTAGAGTTAAGTAAAACATATTGTACATCTACAGAGAAAGATTTCTCTAATTCTGCCAGAGTCCTATCCCCCACATTGTCAGATGCAACGAAAGCAGATCTGGATAGTACACTTTCCCTTGCTGCTATGACACAAGTAAGTGTCTGTAATTCCCTTTGGAAAGAAGGCACAAGTCCATGTAACACTGCTATCTTGGCCATGCTGGGGCAATAAGCATCATCCTGGCTGATCATCTTCACAATCTTCCACATTAGAAGGAATGGTGGGAAAGCATACATCAGATCTGTACCCCAATTTAGGAGGACTGTATCAGTTAGAGAGTGAGCATCTGGCTCCTGCTCTTAACACCAAGTGCCCTTCTTTTTGTTCAAGTCTTCTGGTAACTAGATCTTTATCTGAAGTACCAAGTACCCCAAAGTAGCTATGAAGCCACAAAGTACCATTTCAGAGTAGCAGCCGTGTTAGTCTGTATCCGCAAAAAGAAGAACATGAGTACTTGTGGCACCTTAGAGACTAACAAATTTATTAGAGCATAAGCTTTCGTGGACTACAGCCCACTTCTTCGGATGCATATAGAATGGAACATATATTGAGGAGATATATATACACACATACAGAGAGCATAAACAGGTGGGGGTTGTCTTACCAACTCTGAGAGGCCAATTAATTAAGAGAAAAAAAACTTTTGAAGTGATAATCAAGATAGCCCAGTACAGACAGTTTGATAAGAAGTGTGCAGGTGAACGAGCCCCTGATGGTATGGCTGATGTGATCTACCAATGTGATATATGCCATCATGTGCCAGCAATGCCCCTCTGCCATGTACATTGGCCAAACCGGACAGTCTCTACGCAAAAGAATTAATGGACACAAATCTGACATCAGGAATCAAAATACTCAAAAACCAGTGGGAGAACACTTTAACCTGTCTGGTCATTCAGTGACAGACCTGCGGGTGGCTATATTACAACAGAAAAACTTCAAAAACTTCAAAAACAGACTCCAAC